TTTTCCATCCTGCATCCATCCATCCCTCCATGGCTATGTGCTGTGCACCACCCACAGGGCAGGGTCCTGAGCTCTGCCCACTTCTGCCAGCGCCAGGACCAAGCGGTGCCAGCCCTGCCCGGGCTGTGCCAGGCACAGACCACACTCCGCAGGGCATCCTTCCCCTCCCGCCGACCACAGCGCCAGGAGGCAGAGGTCCACCTCGCCAGAGCTCTGCCGGGAGCTGTTCCCATTTCCTCTCCTCATTTGTAGGAACAAATCACTTGTTTTGCCCTAATTTTGCTATTACAAGGCGGTAGCTCTGGGCTACGAGCAAATGCAAATGGCTCAGGCTGGGGAGCAAAACGGCATCGCACGCTCGCCGCGGTCGCTGCTAATTAGCCGCTAATTTTACAGACTTCTTTATGGCTTGGAGTCACGGAACCTTCCCCACGGGCTGGAGCCCTGCAGCCAGAGCTCGCCCGGGGGGCACCAGGAGGGCTCTGCAGCAGCTCCCGGGCACCAGTGGAGCAGGACCCCCAGTGCCAGCCCCAGCCCCGTCCCCAGGATGCTGGGGACAGCCCGGGAGGCTCTGGCAGCCTGGCTGAGGTTGAGCTCTGGGTGCTCCCAGCTCCCCTCGGGTGCTCCCACCTCCCTGGGGTGCCAGCATCCCAAACCTCCCTTGCTGCTGCCACGCAAAGCAGAAGTTCAGATCCTGCACGACGCCGGGTTAAAACCCTCCTGCCCCAAGCCCAAGCTGCACGAGCCCACCTCTAAGCTCAATTTGGGCCCAGTTTTGAGGATTTCAGCAGCACCTTGGCTCGGGGTGGGCTGGCTGCAAGAGGACATCTCCTGCCCAGAGCCTGTGTCCAAGCCAGGGGCTTAATGAGTATCAGGATCCTGAGCTGGCCTCGAGTGGAGGAATTAAAGGAATGCTTTGCATATTTTGGAGACTCAGGCAGGTGAGCAGCTGTAGCTGCAGACAGGATCTGTCTCGCCCCACAGCTTGTGTTGGCACATCACAGCCTGGTGAGAGCCCTGCTCTCAGCCTGTGGAGGGAGAGGTGTTTGTCCATCCCAGGAGCCCAGCTCCCAACAAATCCCTCCGAAACCAGAAATGCTCCAGGAGTGAGGGAACAGGATTGTTTGGGTTGGAAGAGACCTGGCAGATCATTGAGCCCAACCATCCCCCAGCCCTGCCAGGTCCCCACTGCCCCGTGTCCCTCACACCACATCTCCACAGCTTGGAAACCCCTCCAGGGGTGGGGACTCCACCACTGCCCTGGGCAGCCTGGCACAGCCCTGGAGAAGAAATTGTTCCTCAGGTCCAACCTCAGCCTCCCCTGGGGCAACCAGAGGCTGTTCCCTCTTGTCTTGTCCCTTGTTCCTTGGGAGCAGAGCCCGACCCCCCCCTGGCTCCAGGCTCCTGTCAGGAGCTGTGCAGAGCCAGAAGGTCTCCCCTGAGCCTCCTTTGCTCCAGGCTCAGCACCCCCAGCTCCCTCAGCTGCTCCTCCCCACACTTGGGCTCTAGACCCTTCCCCAGCAGCTTCGTTGCCCTTCTCTGGCCACACTCCAGCATGAGGAGCTCCACCACGGGATCCACCACCAACCATGGAATCCACCCCACAGCCAAAATTTCACCCTGATGCTCACCAGCATTTCTGCAACATCTGTTGTTCAGTTTTTAAAACACACAATGAAGGGCACAAGATGAGGGTGCAGCTCAGTTTAAGGCAGGCCGTGGGGTTTTGCTGTATTCAGCTGAAACATCCACTCACCAAACAGAGCCATCAAGCAGAGGGTTTGTTCCTGTTGACTTCAACAATCTCTGCCTGGAGGATTTTGGGGTCAAAGCATCAACAGAGGCTCCCAAGAAGCTCAGCTCAGCCCAGGAGAGTCCAGGATTAGCTGCTCCCTCCTTTAAACCCTACTCTGGGTGATGCCTGGGCCAGGTGGAGCAACTCAGCCCCACCAGTGTCCCCACCCCTCACCCTGCCCTGCCCTCCCCACTGCACCACCCCTCGGCTGTGCTGGATCAGGCCCGTGGTGCCCAGTTCCTGCAGGGCTCTCAGAGAGCTGGGCACGTCCTCCACGGATGCACCCAGCTCTGCAAAGCCCTGGGCTGAGCTCTCTGTGCCCACCAGCTGGTGCTGCTGGGCTAGGAAGGGACAGATCTGCCCACTGCTCAAGCTGAGGCTGGTTTGTTAGCAGGTCATTAATTTCAGAGAGCATTAAAGAGCTGGGGAGGTGGGTGCAGCCAACCTGGTGAACCAGCTTGCTGTGGGAAGCTGGGTAAGGAGAAGAGCTTTTTGGCCATGAGGATGTCTCCCCACCTTGGGAGCACTCTGGGAAGCAATAGCTGAGGCCAAGCCCACCAGCAGCACCAGCAGCACCTCAGGCTCCCATCCCACAGCACCACGGGGTGATGGGGAACCTGGACCAGCTCCATGGGGCTGATAGTTTCCACCTCTCTTTGTGGGAGAGCTGAGGGATAGGGATTGCCAGATCCCCCCCGGGTACCAGACAACCCAGGAGGTCCAAAAACTCTTTAAGCACCACACCCACGATCCCTTGGTGCCCGTTTCCATCCGAGCTGGAGCAGCACAAGGCAGCTGATCCCCAGTGGAGTCCCCCACATCCCACCAGAGCAGGTCGTTGCCATCCCCTTGCTATGTGTGGGCTGGACAGGAAAACCAGACCATCCCCAGCAGTGCATCTGAGGAGCCAGCAGTTCAATGAGCTATTTTAATTAACTGTAATCTAAGTGATGTGGTAATGTCAGGAGGGATGATGGAAGGCACTCCCCGTGGCCTCGCCAGCAGAGGAGGATGTTCCACGAGCTCCATTAGCCCTGATACCCACAAACCCCACTCCCCTCGAGCCCAGCTTCCCAGGAGAAGAGCCTGGCACCCCAATTCTGTCCTGCCAGCCAGGATGGGCAGATGGAAAACCCCCTGGCTGGGGTGAGGTGGGCAGGGGATGGGCACGGGAGGTGGCTGGGAGAGGCAACACCCCTCTCAGAGCCTCCACGCTTCTCCCTCCGGAGCCAGCAGCTCCCATTCCAGCCAAGATGAACCAGTTTGATCCCTTTCTTTGAATTTTCTGCCTGTGAGGGTGTTTTTTTAAGTGCAGAGAAGTTAATTTCCAGCAGAGCTGTCGTGCTGCTGGCAGGCAAAGCCCCAACTCAAGACGTCAGAGGGGGACAAAGATAGACTGGGATGCATTTAAAACCCTCTCCCAGCCCCAGAGACACGTCCCCAGCATCTCTCCCGAGCTGCTCTGTCCCTCTCCAAACAGCCTGCACTGCTCATTCCCTCCCAGGGACCTTCCACTCCTCCTGCTCCCCAAAACAATGCAGCTCAAAACCCCCCCTGTCCCCCCAGCCCCCCCGGGGAGCCCCTCAGGAGGTGCCCTCGGAGGTGATTCTGTCACTGTGGAGCACCCAGGGCGAGAGCTCATGGCCACATGGGCTTTGCATAAATTCTTGGCAGTCCTCCCACAGCTTCCCTGCTCCTGAAATTAAAGGCTCGAGCCCCAGCAACCCCTCCATCTAAATTAAAACGAGCTCTATTTACTGCTCATGAGAATTGAATTATATGAACTCGGAGCTGGATGATAAGCAGAGCTGGCCCTTGCAGTTCCTGCTCTTAATCTGGTTAGTGCTCAGACAAACCCACGCCAGTGTCACCCTCTTCAAAGCAGAGGAATTTGGTCCTGGGCTGGTTTTTTTGCCCTGCCAAGGCTGCCCAGGGGACATGGGGGGGTTGTGGTGCAGAAGCAGCGGTGAGTCCAGGGCAAACTTCCCCCAGGAACCCCACCAGGGTGGCACGGGGGGTGCTGGGTGGTGATGGCAGCACCAGGATGAGTTTTGGGGTGGTGCCAGCGCTGCACAGGCACTGAGCAGAGGTGGTACCAGGGGCAGGAGCTGCTCCTCCAGGGAGACCTCACTGGGGCTTTTCAGGACTTCAAGGGGCTTGTCAGAAAGCTGGGGACAGAATTCTGAGCAGGGCCTGGTGGGGCAAGACAAGGGGTGATGGGTTTGAACTATAAAAGGAGAGATTTAGAGTAGAGAGAAGGAAGAAATGTTTGACCCTGAGGGTGGTGAGCCCCTGGCCCAGGCTGCCCAGAGAGGTGGTCGCTGCCCCATCCCTGGCACCATCCCAGGGGAGGTTGGAGGTGTCTCTGAGCACCCTGCTCTAGCTGCAGATATCCCTGCTCCCTGCAGGGGGTTACTAGATGACCTTGAAAGGTCCTTTCCCACCCAACCCAGTCTGGGATTCTGGGATTCTCAGCCCAGTCCACGTCCCACCATCTCCTCAGGGCAGGATCCAGCCTCACCCTCTTGCTGCTGCAGGGTCTGGTCCCTGTGGTGCCATCTCCACCCACCCCACCCAGGCGGGTAGGGAGGGGCTCAGCCTGCAGCATCCCCCCCAAAAGCTGGGGCAGCAAAGGGGTCTGGACTGGGGCAGAGCACCGTGAGGGGACAGGGCAGAGGCACCAGTGGAGGAGAACATGCCAGCAGCCCTGAAGCTCAAGATAAACTCCATTTGAAAACCAGGGGCAGGAGGCTTCAATAAGACCAAAGGACCCTGCCAAGAGTCACACTCCCTATATTGAGGTGCATAAAAGCTGGACATGTAAGACACGAAGAAAGCACTGTCAGGGCAGGCCAGCAAATATATAACAGTGAGAACATGAAATATTAATCACCAGTGCATAAAACAATAGGAAAAACCTGCCTTTGGAGGCAGCCATCAATCCTCACTCAGCAGGGAACATCAAGAGACTCTAATTCCATACAGGTTCTGCTTAAATATTTGCCTTCCTTAATGCTCACGCAAGAAGCATTCGCTTTGAAGTCGAAAATAGACTGTAAATGTCTTTTGTGTGAGATGAAACATGATAAGACATGAAACCAGGAGGCTAAACTGTAGTTAATCACGGTGGGTTTACAAGCAACAAATCATTATTGGAGACAGTAAAGTGTAGGGCTTGAAAGTGCCTGCTGTGAGGATGGCAGAGGAGAGCCCGGGCTGGGCAGCGCCCACCACTGCTGGGGGTTTGGGTCATGGCCCATCAGGGTGGCCACAGGAGAAGCCAAGGTGCTGGAGTGGTGCTGGCAGGGCTGGAGTCATGCTGGCAGGGCTGGAGTGATGCTGGCAGGGCTGGAGTTGTGCTGGCACAGGGCTGGACTGGTGCTCACAGGGCTGGACTGATGCTGGCACAGGGCTGGAGTGATGCTCACAGGGCTGGAGTGATGCTCTCAGGGCCAGAGTGTTGCTGGCACAGGGCTGGACTGGTGCTCACAGGGCTGGACTGATGTTGGCACAGGGCTGGAGTGATGCTCTCAGGGCTGGAGTGATTCTCTCAGGGCCAGAGTGTTGCTGGCACAGGGCTGGACTGGTGCTCACAGGGCTGGACTGATGTTGGCACAGGGCTGGAGTGATGCTCACAGGGCCAGAGTGCTGCTCTCAGGGCTGGACCAATGCTCCCAGGGCTGGAGTGTTGCTCCCAGGGCTGGAGTGTTGCTGGCACAGGGCTGGACCAATCTTCGCAAAGCTGGAGCAGGGCTGGCACAGGGCTGGAGTGATGCTGGCATAGGGCTGGACCAATGCTGGCATAGCTGGAAGCAGCTTTCCCTGGCAGAGCCTTCACCCAGGGCCACAGGGGTCATGTGTTTTTGGGGAGGGCCCACCCAGCTCCACACAGGACTGCAGGGAAGGCAGGAGTGCCAGGGGCATCCCTGCTCCAGCCCTGCCATTTCAGAGACTGGCACCAGCTCTGTCTGCACCCCTGGCACAGGACAGGGATTTGGCCAGGGGCCTGGGAAGCCCCCCCAAAAAAGCTTGGGCTGAGCTTGGGCTGAGGATGGAGCCTGGGGTGGACAGGGCTCTCCAGGCACGGGCAGCACTGCCAGCAGCCCGTGGCAAGTCCTGGCCCAGCCCAGGAGCCAGCCTGGGCCAGGCACCTCCCAGATCAGAACTGAAGCTGGTGATTGGAAGCGATGTGCACTTGGGAGCGTGAGACCCCAGAGCAAGCCCACGAAGCATGATTAACAAATAAACCTTCACTAATTGCCTGAAAAAGTGTGATTTCAACAGCCAGGGAAGGGGGGAAAAAAAAAAAGAAAAGAAAGATTTTCATTTTCCTTAGGCTAAACATTTTTCCAGCGTGCTCAGACTCGCTCTGAATGTTTCCAGTCATTATCCCCCTAATTAACAGACACCACAAACCGAAAACAAATTTCCCCACCTCATGGCTTCACCAAACCCCAGGAACAAGGCTGGGGATTGCCCCCTGCCTGGCACACCGGGGTGGGCAGCAGCCTGGGGTGGGGAGGGATGAAGTTATCCCCGGGAAATGAAGTGGATTGAGAGTGGATTGAGCCTTTCCTTCCCTCCAGCTGCTGATGGGTGTGCCCGGGGAGAGGAGAGCTGCCCGGGATGGGGTGGGTGGGCTGG